TTTTGTTTCTCTTCTATTTATTTTGCTGAAATTTTTTTCAATTAATTTTACTAAATTGATTTTACGGTGTTGCCTCCGTGTTTCCCACTCCACCGAGCACGTTCACTACTCCCTGCTCCTCCACTGCAGCATATGGTGGCCCTCCAAATCGGAACATCACGGTGGCCTTCCGCTTCAGCTCCTTGTTTTCTGCCCTTAGCACGCTTATCTTTGCTCGCGCATCCTTATACATGCGTTGGAGCAGAGCCAGCTGGGAGTTTCCATGCTGCACCTCATTTGTCCTACTCTGCAGCCGGTTCGACAAATTTGTGACCGCCGTCATGCTTTCCACACATGCCTTCAGAGTATACTGATTGGCCTCCACATCTGACAGCACCGTCATTTTTTGCTCCACCGACCGCATCGGAAAATTCAACGGAGCAAACTCCGGGGCACTTGGTTGAGGTTCCAGTGCCACCGCACCCGTTCTCTCTCCTGTTGACTCGTTGAGGTCGGGAAAGAGGGTGAGCAGCCCGCGGGAAGACGAAGACATTTTTCTGGGCTACAAAGTGTTCCACAGTTTCTCTCTCCGAAGAGGCAGAGTTTTTCAGAGCAGGTTGGTTTCAGAGGTTTCAGAATGGTATGCCTCAGCCTCAGCTTTCGTCTTGGTTTAAATAGCCAAGGCCGATCCGCGCATCGCGCGCCACTTGCCACCAGCCGACAAACGGGCACGCAAGCCAAGGCGCCCACGTGCCTCGCCATCATGTCCGGCACACCTTTTGATGAATTGGGCACGCCTTTTGATGTATTGCCTTTTTATGGATTGGGCACGCCTTTTGATGGCATGCCTTTTGAAAGATTGGGCACACCTTTTGAGGGTGCAACTTTTTTAAGGGTCCGACAAGACTCTGTAAACTGTCCCGACATTGATTCCGGTTAGCTCCTTTAATGGTCCGACAAGACTCTGTAAACTGTCCCGACATTAATTCCGGTTAGCTCCTTTAATATATGTATTTATTAATTTTGCCTGGTTAAGATTAGATTCGTATTTTCTGACCATTATATGCTTCAAGGTTCACAATCAAGATTTCCTGGTAAGATCTGAGTTTGCATTCTTGGAAAATAAAATCTTAATATGAATTTGTGGTCTTCTAGGCCTCTTTGGTGTTTCTGTAGAAAGCTTGCTTTTGTCACCAAGTGAAACACCTCAAATTTGGCTTATGATGTGAGACCTTATTAGCTCAATAGAGCTTGATGGTTCTTTCATATTTTTATCATCCATTTCGTTGTCTTTAAAGCCTGAATTGTTAAAGATGATAAAAGTGAGATTTTTTAATGCAAACCTCATCTTTAGGATTCTATTTTTGTTTTTTCTGGTGAAAAAAAAAAAAAAAAAAAATCTTGTTTGGTTTTGATTTTCAAATAACAGTTTTTAGAAAGTCTTGTTTGGTTCTGATTTTGTTAATATTTTAATTAATTTTTTTTATTTTTTATTTTTGAGACACATCTAACATAAATACACTTAAAAAGTATAATATTTGTAAAAAAAATCTTTAAAAAATACACTAAATACCAAAAAATACAAACAAACAAAAAAAACGAAAATTTAGTACATTTTTCGTATTTTTGTGTATTTATTAATTTTTAAAAATATTTTTTCACAAATATCTTACTATTTAAATACATTTAAGTAAGGTGCATCTAAAAAAGTAAAAAAATTGCTTAAAGATTTAAAAAATATTCACTAAAAACTAAAAACATGAAAAACAAAAAACTCAATTTAAAAAAAACTGAATTTAGAAAACTGAAACCAAACACACTTCTTAGTGTTTTGAGTATCAAAATCAGACAAACAGTTAGCAAGAATCCAGGCATGTGAAGGCAAAAGGTAAATGTTTTGGCAAAGTTGTTTCTTCTATATGGGGTGGCCCCTCTACCTGTGGACCAGCAAGTTGATCTTGTTGATAAGTTACAAATTATCAAAATCATCTACCCATATATGGGGTGGTCCCTCTACCTGTGGACCAGCAAGTTAAAAGTCAGCCATGAAGAGGCATCATAGTCATTGATTTGGGAGATTATTTGTCTAGATCACCAAACCTTTAATGGTTCGTGACAAGCTTCTGGATTGTTATGTTAGTGATCTTGGCACAAAATAATCTCAGTTAATGGCTTTGCTGATCCTTAGGTTCTGATTTTTCATTTGTGGGTTTAACGGGAGTGGGCTACCTGTGCAGTGGGTGTGATCTGTACGGATACATGGTTAGTGTCATGACACGTTTCACATGTTAGTCATGATGGCCGTGCCTTTTTTATTGTCTGGTGGCTGTGTGCAGCTCCATGTGAATTTTGTTGCCAAGAATTTCATGAAATCAATTTCCAAATTTGTAAGATTCATCCAATCTAAAAATAAAATAAAACAAAATTTGTAAGATTCATAGTTTTTTTAATTTTGAGTGCACCACTTCTTTGATAAAGAGGCTGAGACTCATCATAAACCTGAAGTCTTTACGTAGGGCACAAAATTCCCGCTTACAGTTGGGTCTGGGAGGTAGTAGGTAGACAGCCTTAGCCCCACTATTTTTTTGTGGAGAGGCTGAAACACAATGTGAAGATAATTTTCCTTATTGCTCTACCTCTATTGGGAAATTCTTAACTGAACTTTAAGGGAATCCCTGGGCTTGGTATTTGATTTTTTTCATTTGTTAGATGGTTAGGGTTTTAAATTTGATATGATTTTAATGCTCATGGTTAAATCTCAAAAACAAATTACTTTTCAAAATGTTTTATTTAGATTAAGAAAAACAAATGAAAATAATTGACTAGGCTAGAACCTCTATTGTTGCACTAAAAGCATATACAGCTAGTGTAAATTTGAGCTGATAGTATTTATGATTGAAATTGTGGGTGGTAAATTAGAAAGAAATCAAAGGATTTCTTATAGAAAAAGATTTTGTAAATGTGATTCAAATATTTTCAGTTATGATTCATAAGATTCTTGTTGCAAAACATTAGGTTCTTAGAAGTATGTTTTTAAGATCATAGTTGTTGAAATCTTATGATTTACAAGTTGAATGTTGCCATTTAACTTGATCATAACGAAATCTATTTGGAATCCTACGTATGCATCCTTTTTGACAGAATTTCTTTGATTTTGTTTTGGATTTTATGATTCTCAATTTGAAGCTCGAGTCCTTTTTGAAAATTTCTTTCTTTGCAGTGGCATTTTAACACCATCAGTGCGTGTAATCTAGTTTGGTTGTTTTTGTTTTCACTTCTCTATTTAAAAGATGATATGCAATGTGTCAACTCATTCTTGAGATCTCATCCTGATTCTGTAGACATTTTAAAAAAAAAAAAAAAAAATTAAATTCACTGTAATTTTTCAAAATTTTTGCATATAGATTTTCTTATAAAGGCTAACATTCTTGGGTGAATATATAAAGGCTAACAGGTCCCCCTTAAATGAACTTTTTGGGTTATCGTGGTCAATTCGCAGCTCCTGCTGTTTAGGAAATCTTTGGCTTGAAATTGCTTGTTTTTAATTAGTGATGGACTGGAACTTTTATTTACTTGATACTGTTTCTTAGGTATTGTTACATTTTCAACTTAATTGTGTTTTTAATTAGTGATTGCTGATTAAATTTCATATAATTATCATATTTATGGATTTACCCTTTAAAGGTTCTAAAAGGACCATGTTAGTGAGTATTCAGTTATCAGAAATCCTTACATACAAAAAAATTCTAAAACTTTGCTATTGGAATGATTTTACGTGAACTAAAACTAGTGAAAGTTATTTACTCCATTTTGGTGAAAGCAAAGATTTGCTTCGAAGACTAATAATGATTTCATCACATGATTTATTACTACATGAGTGCCTGGTTATGGTCATTTTTCTGTTGCAGGCTAACCCTAAGGGGAATCTTTCTGGAGCAAAGCGCAAAGCCGTGACACCACCCGCAGTGGTGGGTGCTAGTGAGCTTCCCCCAGTTGGTTTGAAGAAGAAACTCAAAGAGGAGTGGAGTTGTGCACTCTGTCAAGTTAGGGCTACCAGCGAGCGGGGTTTAGACGAACACCTTCAGGGGAAGAAGCACAAGGCCATGGAGGCAGGACTGAGCGCACAGAGGACAGGCAAAAACAATGCAATTGGGCTTTTCCCAAAGAAAACTGTAAAGCCCATTAAGCTTGCAGAGACCATTGATAATCAGAACTCAGAGCAGGAGATATTATTACAGAAATCAAGTGCAGAAGATGTGAAGCAAAACAATGATTTAGCATTGCAGGTAGTGAAGGTTACCAATGATTCAAAGAACAATTCGAAGAACAAAAATTGGAACTTGGCACATAAAACGAAGAAAACTGGAGATTGCAAGGAGAAGAGGTTTAAGTTCTGGTGTGAAATGTGTCAGGTTGGAGCTTCCTCTATGAAAGTTTTGGGAATTCATAAGAAGGGAAAGAAGCACATGGCACGGCTTCAGGAACTTAATCAAAAAAGTGGATCGGCACTGACTACTCAAGTGGGAGAGGCTCCACAGAAGGAAAAATGCCCAGAAGTGGTTGTTAAAGATGAAAAGGAAGAAACAACAGACAATGTTGACGGAGATGCAGACGGAGAGGTGGTGGAAAATCATCAGACAGCAGAGGATGTGGCTGGTAATGGCACCAATTGATTGAGGAGTATGTAAAAAGAAACACTGCATCAAGTTGGTTTTTCCATCCCAAATTTAGATTTGGAGTTGTGTAATTTTACTTTGTGTATCTTTATCCATAATGTGGCATTTTATTTGGATTATGGATTTATTTGAAACTTCTATGTTTTTTAGTAAGGCTGAGAACTGCAGATTTTCAAAATTTAGACTGGGTGGTGGTTAAAATGATTGAAGCTGCTTTGATAATTTTAGTTTGGAAAGCCACCATGGCCCACATTGGATGAGGATCAAATATTTAGTACAATGGTGATGTTATCCTATCTAGTGTCATTTGTTAATACAAGACCAGAAATGGAATTTGAGTGGACATATCTCGTCTCCTACTAATCTTATTTGTGTTTTTTTATTGGTCAGAACGTAACTAATCTTATTTGTGTGTTTTTATTGGTCGGAATGTAAGATAGTATCACTGTTGCATTTAATTTTTTTATTAACATTGGAGGTGTGGTTAGTACTTGGAACAAGGGGTGCTTGCAGTTTGGTTGCGGTTGAGGAATTTTCAATCTGTCATTCGTCCATCGGATTAGCGGATTGAAAAAAATCAATCTGCATCTGTCTGCTGGATTAGCGGATGCGGATTAACGGATGGATGCGAATTGATTTGACGGTTTAAACTTTTACAAATTTTAAATATAATATAATAATTTGTCAACATTTTTTTTAGAAGACAATCCAATCCAACATAATCATAAGGTTATCAAGTAAAGTGGCAAATACTAATAATAAATAAATATAAGAAAATCATATGTTATTAAAATTATTTCTTTTTTATTTTTTGATTCAAAAATTATTTAATTTGATTTTTAAAAAATGACAAAATTAAACTTTATATTTTTCACACAAAAATATCAAATATTAACACTTGTTATTTGATAAAAGAATTTTCAAATTTAAAAAAAATTTAAAATCACAATAGAATATTTAAACTCTTTTTTAATTGAAAATATAAATAGAATATTTAAACATATTGAAAATACAAAAGTTTACAAATTATTAGGGGTGTTCGCGGTTTGGTAATTTGGTTGCGGCCAAAAGAATCTCAAATCCGCCATCCGTCCAAAACTAAAAATTAATCTACAACCGTCTGCTCATCATCACACATTCGTCCAAAATGTGACGGATCAATTCGGTTCGAACGGTTTGGGCCGATCGGAATATTCGCTGAATATCCCTACTTAAAACATTCTTTCTTCACTGGCAAGAAGCGAAAAATGTGGTAGGTCATAAGTGGTTTCTACCATCAATTTGTGTTTCAACCATAGTGCAATACCATAATGGAAATACTAATTTTATACATTACATGTTTTGAAGAGTTATGGAGTTATATCACAATAGTTAATATGTGAGTAAAATGACCTGAACACCCGATTATAAAAAAAAACAAAAAAAATGAGCTAGACAATTTGCATTGATAATTGAATATAAAGGTAGTACAAAACTAAACCAAGGCATGGCATGGTGTCACGGGATGGCTTTTTCTAGAGGCGTAGCGGAACATTTCTACCAGTGAAACGCTTGAACTCCACGAAGTGTCAAGCCCACCTAAACTCTCCTTAACTATTGAGTGTTGAATCTTGACCCCTCGTGTCAAATGCAAGCTCAAATGCTATGTCTAGCAAGAACAACTCCACAAGGAAGCTCTAGCTTCCATGCCACAAGTAGGCTAAACACCCACAAGTGCATCTCGCATGGCTCGTGTCACTTCACGGCACCAAACTCGCCCTTGAGCAAGGTGCTCGCCCAACTGAGGTCCAACTCAATCAAGGCATCCCGTGTCAGCGTGACTCAAAACTAACCCAACACAATGTTGTTCAATTGTGCACAAATCTAGAACCCTCAATCTAGCTGACAAGTTTTCCCTCTCTTGAATAGGATCTCTTGTTGCACCTGTCTCGAATAGCCACAGGCAACTGAGGTCGCCGGTGCTGCCACAGCTCAAATTCTCATACACGCATTGACATGCTAAACCATTCACCAAGGGTCATTACGCATCCGAGGCATTACACTAGCGTGTAGCATGAGCATGACAATGTATATCACTAGCCCTCAATTAGCATTCTGCCTTCGTACAAGCTCTGCATAAAGTGTCTCGTATGATGACAATGCTTCATAATATTCAATTGTTTCCATGAGTGACAACGTTGCTACCAAACCGCTAGCTAGGCTACATGACCCTTGTGTTCACAGTTGAACCCAAGCCTATGTTCACAAGTAGGTACATAAGGTCTTATTGATGGCATGCCTCGATAGTGCATTCTATTCGATCCAAGATGACACCACGATATATTACAACAAGCGGCATAGCGGGTGTGTATTTGAACCTCCCACTAGGAAGTAGTGCTCAATGTCGACACTTATGCCCCTCAATGACATTATCCATGGTGTTCCCAAACCCACATGGAGACCAAAGACAACACTCAAGTATGTCAGAGGCCCGTCCATTGGTTGTCCAAATGTTGCTCACTTGTAACCTCATCACAGGTTAGGGAGACAAGTTTATAATATTATCTTAAGCCTTTTTCTGATTGACACAAAGAAACATCCCACATATTTAATGAGTCATAATGAAATAATTCTCAATATTATCCCACTAGTGTAGAAGCATGGATGGGCGGGCGCGCAAGGGTGCTGGGCGTGCATTGGACTACTTGGGGCCAACACGCCACGTCGAGGTACCACACCACTTGTAAAAGTTGCAAGTAGAAGAATTGTCAGCTCATGACACATGGCTATAATATAATGCCTCCCAAGTTTCAAAGTATTCATGTCCACTAGATCACAAAGACATGAGTGGAAATATGTAAAATTAAATACTTGAATCCTCTAACTTTTTATAATATTCGAAGAATAATAAATACACATTTTCTATATAAAAAAATTAATAATAACTTCTAACATATAAGAGATAAAAATAACACATTTTTTTTTTCTAAGGCTTATTCAATTACAACTATATTTTTACATAATCTACAACATCTTATCTAAAAAGTAATTTTTTTTTTATCTAAAATATGAAAACAATTCACTAAAAATAAATAAAAACTCGAACAAAAATGCATACAGATTTTTGTTTGAATTTTCATATATTTTTAGTGATTTGTTTAATATTTTAGCCAATTTATTTTAGTTTTTAGATGTATCTTGATTATGTGTATATAAAAAGACAAATAATTGGTTAAAATATTTAAAAAATTCAATAAAAATTAACGAAAACTCATCTTAAAACAATTTTTGAAAAACCAAATCAAAAGTTTTGATTTGGGACTTTTCAATTGTGTTGTTTAACCATTCTTTCAGAATCACCACATTCATTGGTTTTAAATTTCCAAAAATAGTTTTCTGAATTTTTAATTCGTATTTTCATATTTTTAATATTTTTTAAATATTTTAATCATTTTTTTTAATTTTTAGATCCATTTAATCTTAATATGCTTACAAAGTAAAAAAATTCATTGAATACAACAAAATACGAAAATGTATTGAATTTTCGTATTTTTTTTATATATTTATATTTGATGAATTTATTATTTTTTTTGTACAAATATTATACTTTTTAAATGTATTTAGATTATGTGTATTTAAAAAATAAAAAAATTTGAGTAAAATATTAAAAAAAATCACTACAAACAAAAAAAAAATAACTAAAAACAAAAAAACTCAATTTTTTGAAAAATAAATTCAATTTTTCTCGAACACATAACATATAAGAGATAAAAATAACACATTTTTTTTTTCTAAGGCTTATTCAATTACAACTATATTTTTACATAATCTACAACATCTTATCTAAAAAGTAATTTTTTTTTTATCTAAAATATGAAAACAATTCACTAAAAATAAATAAAAACTCGAACAAAAATGCATACAGATTTTTGTTTGAATTTTCATATATTTTTAGTGATTTGTTTAATATTTTAGCCAATTTATTTTAGTTTTTAGATGTATTTTGAATAAATAAAATTTTTAAAATAATTGTTAAATTGGAAAAAAAAAAGTAATAATTCAAAATTTAAATAATAATTCTAGTTATTTATTTTAATAATTTTAGTTGTATCTTTTCATAAAAACGGTACTTAAATTAACACATATATTAATTTTAAATAAATTATTGATGTGTATTTTAATAATTTTAGTTCTATTGTGTCATAAAAATATAACTTATATAAATATATACATAATAAATCTCATAAAAGTAAATATTTTTAATATTTAATTTTCAAAAAAACTGCAAAAAGAAGAATAAGATTAATTGGTAAAATATTTTTGGTATATATAATTCTATTAAATTTTGTTTATGTGCAATTTAAATTAAGTAGAAGTCTTTCAAATATTGTGTTTGGTAATGTTTACATTTTCAGTTTATATTTACAAAAATTTTATAAACTGATTTTTGTTTATTTTTAAAAAAATATAAACTAAAAAATATGTTTGTTCAGGTCTAAAATATTTATATTTATTTTTTATTATTTATGACAATAGGATCATACATATTATAATTGAAAAAAAAATTAATTTGAAAAAAAATAATTGGACAAAAAATTAATTAAAAAAAATATTTGAAAAAAAATTGAAAAAGTTTTAATTGAAAAAAAAAATTATTTGAAAAAACAAATTGAAAAAAAAATATTTGAACAAAAAAATAATTGAAAAAAAAATTGTTAGTCAAATTTTTAAATTTTTGTTTAAAATCAACATAAACTCATTTTTTCAGTTTACGTTTTTTACTCAAATTTATAAATGTAGACGATCATTTATAAACCTAAATAATTATCAAATAAATTTTTATGATAATTTTTAAAATTTTTATGACTCTAAATTAAAAATTGAAATCTAAATAATTACTAAACAGATCTTACGTGCTTTGTGTTTATTTGGAAGTTTTTTTTAATTTTTCGGTGCTTAAAATTAAAATTGATTCTAATATATTTAAAAAATTCAATATAATTGATATTATAAATAAGATAGACATAAAAATAAGAAATAATTTTAATATTTTATTTTAAAAAATGTGAAAAAAATATAATAAAATTAATTGGTAAAATATTTTTAGTATGTATAATTCTATTAGGGTTTATTTATGAGTAATTTAGATTAAGTATACTTTTTGCAATATTAAATTTTAAAAAAAAATTTAGTAAAAAGATATATTGATGTGCCATTTTAATAAATAAATAAATAAAAAATCAATTATTATACTAATTATGTACCAACACTTGATATAGTAATGCAATTTTAGAAATATAGATTACATCCATTGTACAAATTACAAATGGCCTTTTTTGACAAATGGCCTTTTTTGATATTGTAAA